AGAGAGAGAGAGAGAGAGAGAGAAAGATACGTGTGTAGATACAAGTAGAGAGACAAAGGTTGACTCCCTCCTGAAAATGTTTTAATGCTTTTGTACTTTGCTTAGATACTCGTTAGATGTCGCCCTGCGTGAAAATGTTTTAATGCTTTTGCTTAGATACTCGTGTCGGAGGATCGGCCAGCTAGTTGGTCGTTATTTCGATACGAGGAACCGACTGACCCGAAACTACGTAATTACTAACGAATACGACCGGCATAGTGGAGAAACTAACTAAGGGTTGTCCTCCCCTGCTGCGAGATAATTTCATAATAAAATTGTTAGGAACAGTCGAAACGACGGTGCAACAGATCGAGATGCTGGTAAAAATACGAGATCCCTGAATAACTACAGATTGCAAAGTATCACAAGGCAAACTTGTCAACGGTGAAATCAGAGTCAGGGGAATCAATGGATTCCACGAAACAGGAGAAGAACTATTTACGTCAGAAGACGTAACCTAACGTCGAAAGAAACGGATCGATTTTTCCCAAGCAATATATTGAGAGAGAGAGAGACTTCGAATTTTCGACGAGCAGTTTTATATAAATTAAATTAGAGACAATTCAATGGAATATTGGAGGATTGCAACTCTGAAAATTTATAAATTAATCTTCTTAATTAATTCTCAAAAGCAAATAAAAATCAGTGGCACCAATTGTCCAATATAAAAATTATAAAACTACAAATTTTCACACTTTCCGCGCAGATTTTTTTCAATCGTTATTTGACGATTTACAGACAATCAGATGTTAATAAATATTGTTGATTGACATGAAAAATGAAGTACGTATGATTTATGAATTAACTTATACTTAAGATTATTTATGATTTCAGTATGGTACCTGTGGTTAGTTATTCACTAATTACACTTACCAAGTTAGTTAATAATTCACAGGCCTGATTAATGTTAATAATCAACAAAAATTACTAAAGAAACAAACATTTTTTTTACTCATTCAGTAAGTGAATTGATCAATGGTTGGCAATGCCGACAGATGGCACCACTATGTTCAAAATAAACAACAGAATTAATTGCATGCAATTAATTATTTATGTGTGATGATCAAACAGTGATGCATAAATAATTCACCTGAACAGATGAAAATTTGATTCACTGATCGATGAACTTGATTTTGTAATTTCATCGCTCATTAAATATAGAGTAATTATGAAATTGTGAACTTTGTGTAACACGTAATCTGAAATACTCATCTCGTCACAAAATCGAAAATGTTTCTCTGTTTAACGACAGAAATCACTGGCAATTTTTCCTTCGCTATCAAGTTAAATAATTAGTGTTAACTTAAAATTAACATTAATTAATTAATGTTATTTTAATTATTTCAATTAATTATTAATAACTTGAAATTTGATATCAAGACACGTTCATTTGATTTAGACCAGAATTTAAATTGTGACGTAAATCTTGTTATATCATTTCATATAATAATTAATAATAATATATAATAATTTCAGTTCGTTGTTAGGTAACGATCACGTGATTACAATTGTTATCGATTCTCGAACATAATTCGAGATTTTCTTGCAATTGATCTATAACATTGATCTATAAGATCGATCTGTAATATCGATATCAACAAGTATCGATATCAGGAAACGCAGGAACTAATCTGCAACAATTAAAATTTTTTATTACAGAGGTCTTTCATTATTATTATTTTGTTTTAAAGATTAATTATTTCTATTTTGAAAGAAACAATATTTCATACTTTGTTTGAGATTTTTTCCAGCCTTCACTTTTTTTTTTTTTTTTTTTTTTTTTCGTGGAATTCGACGATTCCTTAATGACAGACTTCACGATAACTTCCCCTGGGTCACACAATTACATCGATGACAATGTGCCTCGCGTCTAATGATAGTCGCATGCGTTTTTGTTCTTCCAGTCAGTCAATCATGTGGCAGAATGAAAGGTCCGAATCGACATGGATGACTGGTTGTATTACGCAGAACTTTCGACGAGCATAATAGCCGTGGGCATTTATTATGATCCGTAAATAGAAATGCCTTCTTGTCTGTTATTCCATTTCATAGCTTTGATTATTCACCACGTAATTATGTACGAAATCATGTACAGTTATTATTTGCCGAGATGAATTATTCATACGAGTAGACACATATTATCTACATGAATAAAATGTAAACGTTCAAACGAGCATCGAGTATTGTAACAAATTCTATATAGTGGAGAAGTCGGATAAGACCGACTTTGCAATTTTAATTGAGATTATATACAACAATGGAATAATGATAATATTTTATCTTGGATCATACGATAATACTCGATTATTGATTTCTATGTTGAATATAATTTTAGTGAAATTTGAGATACTTTGAAACTTGAAGTATGAAAACATCAAAATACAGAGTCAATAATTATAGAGAGACCTTCATTTGCTGAGTCACAGATCTAATATTTAATCACAAAGATGATAGGATGGATAGTCTCATAATTATAGTTGGTAGATATGTGTTCTAAAATATTTATAAAAAAATTGAAGATTTACTGTTACAATATCTACAATATCTCAATAGTTTGATTTTCATTGTAAGTTTATACTCCAGTGATTCATTATAACAATTGTTGTTATGATTTACATATTTTTGATAAAAAAATGAAATTATGAATATAAATGAATGTATATATATTATCTTTTTGACTTATAATTTCTTTAAATTAGATCCTGCATTGAAAATTTGCAGCCTACTTCATAATCCACACTTTGTAATAATTTATAAATTTTCTTGGAGTGCAACGTTTTTATTATTGTTCTATCTTTTATAGATTACTGTAATAGAATGGTTTAATCGTTTAACTAATACATGCAAATTTAATACTACATCATGACGAAATAGAATATTTTCCTGAAGTTTTGTTGTCCTTTTGTATCATAATCAATGTAACTTGTACTATAAGATGTTGAGAAAAGTTTGTATAACATTAATGTTCCAAACGTAGTAATGAAGTCTTCTTTTATTTTCTATACAAATTATTGACAAGGAAATTGTTCAAAGATTTTTCTGTCCACAACATTTTCTTGTCCATATTTTATCATATCAATTTGACACTGCATTTACTAAATATCAATATACAATAGAAAATCATATTAACTGTCAAATCTATTATCTGCATGCTGTTTAAATTAAATTCGATCTTTCACTTGACGCTTTCAAATTCCGAGGGAAGGAAGATGATTGCCTTGTCTCTTCCTTTGTCGATAATTGTCGCAGTATTTTGCCTGCGCTTCTAACTTTTACTTTGCGATCGATATGAACAAATTTAACAAAGATTCACGCCAGGTCTGTGCGTCTATATCACTTTTTTGATTTGTAATTTCGTTTCAATTAAAATTTAGTTTCAATTCCGGCCACTGTAAACTTTGTGATCTTATTCTAAGATAAGTTGAATCGGTAGACACTGAAACAGTGATGGGACAAAAGTGGGACAGGAATGCAAAATCCAGCGTCAAGTCCATTCCAAAGCCTGCGTGTGTTATTGCTCCAGCAATTCAATTGAATATAAATTAAAAAAACCGCACACTCCTGAAACATGGAACGAGAAAAACATTGAACTCTTATTTATTTGGAATTCGCAAATTTATTTATTTATTTATTTATGGACAAAATACACGAATTTAACGAACGTTCAAAACATGTGTTTTTAACGGGGATTTAAAATGACCCTGATATTAGGGTTGTCAGCTCTCATTACACGGTTTTAATTGTACAAGATTTCAATAAAGTGTGCCGGTCGTACAACCTAACCTAAACCTTTCTTGGCTTCTTCGATGTCTCTTCTGAGAACGCGTATCGTCGCCTTAATGAGGAAACTCGTACTGCCTCTACGGCTGGATGCGCCTTAACACCATTAATTAAGGGGAGATTAATTTCGTTACGTACACCGTGATCTCGGAACTCTAATTGATAACGGACGACTGTTCTTTGAAGCCTGTACTGAGGAAGGGTGACTCCTGACAGTTCTACAAAACGACTGCCCGATAGCAGTATAATGTGAAGTATAGTTGCTTCCAGGTAGAGAAACTCGCTCGAAAGAAATGGAATCCCCTCGACTTTCTAATCTGCCGATACTATCGTGTCGAACCATTTCTCAGATAGTATACATATACTTCGGTGGTATCTTTGGTGGCAAATGGTATTGGTCGATGACTCACTGCGAGATAAGCCCGATCACGTTCGATATACTTTATTGAATATTGTTTTAATATAACTGCTCCAAGGGTTGATTAACCGGTCGAAGAAATCGATTGGACGAGCTTCGATATCTTCCCGGGATTGAATCGTTTTCAGCACTGGTAGGAGGATTTATTTCTAAGGGTATAAATAAAAAGTTGGTTCCACAAGAAAGACTTTTATGCTCATCGTCGGCACGCATAAAAGTTCCTCGTCGTTTGTGCGATTCAGACGCACACACATACACACGCACACACACGCACGTGCACGTAAACACTGTGGGCCTGACTACGATCATCCGGCGTAATCGTTGCCACACGACACGAAACGACTGACCGCATACTCGAATTCCCAGAATGCGAGTCAGCGGCGGCACGAGTGAACGTACGAGGAACGTTGTACCCGTTGCTGCCAAATCATAGACGCGTAGAAAATCGTAATTTTGTCAAGAAATCACGTTGAAAAATTTCAGAGAAAAATCGAACAATATCTTGCACCTTGATCAGTCACTTTGAGCAGAATGTTATCTGTCAATGGTACAGCGTCAACACTAAAGATTGATATATTACCACACAATATTTCATTACATCATCAATCCATAAGTAATTAGTTTGTACAGTAGTTATCGAAATCGAACGCGTATCGACGCGTCCTTTGAACGATCGGGCAAAGAAACGCTGCAAACTGTAAATGCTC